CATTTTTGGACCCAATCATCATCAAACTTTGTCAGGATGCTTGTCTTAGATAAATAGCTCGGATGAGTTCGCAAATATGGGTCATCTCGGATGAAAAACTAGGTCACGGGAGCTATAAATAGAAAAAACCTTGTGAACACTCTAGTGGTCACATTTTTTGCATCAACATCATCAAACTTGGTCAGGATGCCTTATCTAGTTGATAGCTTGGATGAGTTCGAACATGGGTCATCTCGGATGAAAAAGTATTGGTCACCAGAGCTAAAAATAGAAAAACCTTGTTAACACTTTAGCGGTCACATTTTTGCATCAATCATCATCAAACTTGATCAAGATGCTTGTCTAGGTGATAGCTCGGATGAGTTCGAACATGGGTCATCTCGGATGAAAAAACTAGGTCACAGGAGCTAAAAATAGAAAAACCTTTGTTAACACTCTAGTGGTCAACAATTTTGACTCAATTGTCATCAAAACTTGGTCAGGAAACTTGTCTAGGTCATTGCTGGGAATAAATCGAACATGGGACATTTCGGATGAAAAACTAGGTCACAGGAGCTAAAAATAGAAAAAATCTTGTTTAAAACTCTAGTGGCTACTGTTGTGATCCAAAATATTCTGTTAATTGGTCTGAAAGTTTGTTTTTGATGATTTCTAAGTCAAGATCGAACATGGGTCATCTTGGATGAAAAAACTAGGTCACACCGCCCAAATATGGAAAAAAACCTTGTTAACATTCTAGTGGTCACATTTTCGACTCAATTATCATCAAACTTGGTCAGGATGTTTGTCTAGGTAATTGCTTGGATGAGTTTGAAATCGCATGTGAAACTAGGTCACCGGAGCTAAAAATAGAAAAATCTTGTTAACACTCTAGTTGCTACTATTTTGATCCAAGTATCCCTGGAAATTGGTCTGAAAGTTTTGTTTTGATGATTTCTAGGTCAAGTTTGAATATGTGTCACCTGGGTAAAAACTAGGTCGCACTGCTCAAATATGGATAATCCTTGTTAACACTGTAGTGGTCACATTTTTGACTCACCTGTCATGAGACTTGGTCAGAATGCTTGTCTAGATAATTGTTTGGATGAGTTTGATAATTCAGGTGAGCGATCTAGGGCCATCATGGCCCTCTTGTTTTAGCTATTGCCCTTTGTTAGTTTTCTTATTTCATTTTTGTCCTGGCCATTTCTCCTAAACTATATTGTTCACAAGGCGACACATCCGACTTGCGGAGTTCTAGTTTATTTTTAGCTCACCTGTCACAAAGTGACAGGGTGAGCTTTTGTGATCGCTTTTCGTCCGTCGTCCGGCCGTCCGTAAACTTTTACTTTAAATGACATCTCCTCATAAACCACTAAGCCAATTTCATCCAAACTTCACAGGAATGTTCCTTTGGTGGTCACCTTTAAAAATTGTTCAAAAAAATTTAATTCTATGCAGAACTCTGGTTGCCATGGCAACCGAAAGAAAAAACTTTAAATATCTTCTTTTAAAGAACCAAAGAGCTAGAGCTAAGATATTTAGCATGAAACATCTTCTAATGAGTTTTCTACCAAGTTTGTTCAAATAAAAGCCCTGGGGTCAAAATTGGCCCCGCCCCAGGGGGTCATTGATTTTCCCTATATGCATATAGTAAAAACTTAAAAAAATCATCTTTTAAAGAACTCAAAGAGCTAGAGCTAAGATATTTAGCATGAAACATGTTCTAATGGGTGTCTACCAAGTTTGTTCAAATAAATGCCCTGGGGTCAAAATTGGCCCCGCACCAGGGGTCATTGATTTTACTTATATGTATATAGCAAAAACTTAAAAAAATCTTCTATGAAAAAACCCAAATAGCTAGAGTTTAGATATTAAGCATGAAACATCCTTCTAGTGAGTGTCTACAAAGTTTTGTTCAAATAAAAGCCCTGGGGTCAAAATTGGCCCCGCCCCGGGTGTCATTGATTTTCCTTATATGTGTATAGCAAAAACTTTAAAAATCTTCTTTGAAAAAACCCAAATAGCTAGAGTTTAGATATTAAGAATGAAACATCTTCTAGTAAGTGTCTACAAAGTTTATTCAAATATAAGCCCAAGGGTCAATAACTGGCCCGCCCTTGGGGTGTCATTGTTTTTAGATATATTTGTATAGTAAAAACATAAAAAATCTTCTTTTAAAAAACCCAATGAGCTAGAGCTTAGATATTTAGCATGAAACATCTTCTTATGGGTGTCTACCAAGTTTGTTCAAATAAAAGCCCTTGGGTTAAAATTGGCCCTGCCGGAGTGGGGGGCAGGTAATTGTTTTTCATTATATGTGTGTAGTAAAAACTAAACAACATGAAACATCTTCTAATGGGTGTCTTCCAAGTTTGTTCAAATAAAAGCCCTAGGGTTTAAACTGGCCCAACTGCGGGGGCCACTATACAGGTGAGCGACCTCAGGGCCATCATGGCCCTCTTGTTTAATTAAAGACAAAATATGTCATTATCAGTTAACTTAAATTAAGTGTCAACAATAAAATCTGGTACTCCTGGAAATGCAGGTTTGGATGATTTTACTGAAGATGAATAAATAAATTCTTGCCCCTTGTTTGCTGAAGGGTTGCCTTTACCTGTTGAGGCTTCAGAATTGCAGCCACCATTTAACCCTGTGTGACCTAAGACTAAATGGGTTTCAATAACTGGAGTCATGCATCTCTTAGTTCCAGCTGTTGAGGTGGTTATGCTCACGGGTGTTGTTAAATTTTGAAAATCCAATTACCCAAAAATATCTTTACTTTTTTGGGGCCATATACCCAAAATGGTAAAACAAAAAAAACCAAACTCTTTCAACCCTAATTGCATACCTTTGGGCTTTGATTTTGGGTTTAGTTGTAGGGAAGATTTTTAAAAAAACACAAAAGGGGCCTGTTTGTTTTAATGAAACTTTTTTATGTTTTTAACATTTTGTACACCTTTATTTCTTTTTTTTACAGGAACTCGGTGACTACATGGAGGAGGCTGTAGAGTTTTTTGAGAAGCAGAAAGATTGAATTTTTAGGAGACGCAAAAACCCTAAAAAACCTATGTATAAAAAAATCTAGAAAATTTTGAGGTATATTTTTATGTAAAGGTGCAAATTTTTGAATTCATTAGGGAAAACAGATTAAAAACAAAATTTTATTAAAATTTGGTTTTTTGTATAAATATGGGATCATGCAGTTTCTTATAAATACATGTAAGTAAAAAAGGATCCCTTTTTTTTGCTGTCAACAATAAAAACATTAAAATTAAGTTTAAGCTGAATTAAAAATGGTCATGGTTTAGTGGTTTTTGTAGTTAACCCTCGGGATCACAGTTTTAAGCCACTTAAAAATTCCCCAAGAAAATTTCAGCCACCACATTGTTCCGGATGGTTTTCAGCAGTTTCTTGTTTTCCCCTTTCACTTTTGCAAAAACTGATCAGAAAAACTTCAAAAAAAAAAAAAAGTAAATAATTTTACATTTTATATAATACATTTACTAACTTTTTTTAAAAAAATTGGCCAAAAATTAAAATACTGTCAGGTGTTATAACAAAGTCGAGAAATGCAGTCGGGAAACGTCAAAGGAAAACAATTTTGGGGCCCTTTCTTCGGACAGGTAAACAAACAGAAAAAAAATTTAAAATGTTTTTTTTTAAACAGTTTTGGATAGAGATTTTATGTTGATTTTTCTGAATAAGTAAGAAGTAAAATGAATATACATAGCTCCATAGACTAAAGAAAATCCATGTGTAATTCCTGTTTAGAAATTTGAAATATTTATGTTTCTCGATTCTTTAAAATACAGATTCTTGAGGTATGTAAACAAAATGTTAAAAAAGAATTTTTTCGAAATGTTTATGTTCTTTTGATTGCAATCAGTTCATTGTTTAATTTTGTTAGAACAGATTTTCTTTTTTATAACATTTATGGAAAATGTTTACAAAGCTTCATTTTCAATATTCATTTTTTAGTAAATCAAATTTTTGCAAGTTTACCATTTTTGCCAAAGTACTGGTAAGTTATTTTAGGTTCTGAGCAAATATCGGTGAGCAAATATTGGTAAGTTATTTTTGGTTCTGAGCAAAAATTGGTAATTTATTTTAGGTTCTGAGCAAAATTCAGTAAGTTATTTTAGGTTCGGGGCAAATATCAGTAAGTTATTTTAGGTTCTGAGCAAATATCAGTAAGTTAATTTAGGTTCTGAGCAAATATCAGTTAGTTATTTTAGGTTCTGAGCAAATATCAGTAAGTTAATTTAGGTTCTGAGCAAATAGTAAGTTAATTTAGGTTCTGAGCAAATATCAGTAAGTTATTTTAGGTTCTGAGCAAATATCAGTAAGTTATTTTAGGTTCTGAGCAAATATTTTATTAATTAAGTTATATTTGAATTAATTGTAATAACTTGTCTTGTCTAAGAAATTACTGAAACATGTTATAAGTCTTATCCTGTGATGTCAATTGATAGATTCTAAGTTATTGATGTTTTGAGACTTAAATGGCTTTCCCTAGGACATATACTGGGTGTTATTGACTGTGTTTTTAAACAAAGGAAATGTGTTACCTTGTAAGTTGCCGTGACAATAGATACATCTGTACAAGTATGCTACAGATACACATTCGGGACATCTTGTTTGACTGTGCAGACTCTTACTCTTTAGATAGTAATTTTAAATACTTGAATTGTTAAAACTGCAAATTTTTTCAAAATTTTAAAGCAGGACAAGTCCTTTTAACAAAGTTAGCAGGGAAAATATGTGTTTATGGGTTAGTGTGTACATAATAAAAGGTCTGTGGTACTACCCAGGTGCTCACCTGTCCCTGAAAACCATTCTACAACTGATGGGATGAAACTAAGTTCCCGAAAACCATTCTACAGCCGATAAGATAAAACTAAGGTCTTACTGCACCAGTATAAGTGAAATATCATCGTATGACCTTCACAATGTCAACGTAATGTAAAACTTAACTGGAGAAAATAGGAAACGTCTTGCATATTTTCAGTCATTTTTCGATGACGAGGACCCGAAACAAACATTTAAAGGAACCAAAAATAACGTCTAGGGAGGGTGTTGACAGACTGAAAAAATGTACGAGGAAAATCGGCAAAGTAATTTAAACTTTTAAAAGGGCTTAAAAAATTTTAAGTAAAAAGTTGTGTCAGCTTGTTTTAGAATGGTAGATGGTTAGGGTATCTTATTACAATTTTTCATAATGCAAGGGGTAAAAAATTTTGACACTGATTTTTAAAAATAATGTCTGTTTTAAGCTAAAATATTTTTTTTTGGGTTTTTTTAAATTTTTTTCATTTTACCACTTTGAAAATAATTTTTGCTTTTTCACATTGAAAAAAAGAGGATGTTTTGTAATAAGTTAAATTTTGACATATACTTTTTTCCTGATATTAATAAAGCTATATGTGTGTTTAAATGGATTTTTTCTCTGGGATATGCCTTTTATTTACTATCCATAATGATAAAAATCAGGCATTTACTTCTCTTACTGCTCTTGTTAGAAATGTACAAAAGTCATAAATATTCTGATTTCAGGTGGACCCTAATGAGTTAGACAACAAATATGCCTATATACAAGTAACACATGTTACCCCGTTCTTCAAGGAGAAAGAGTTACAGAGACGTCTGACAGACTTCGAGAAGAACAATAATGTTTACTCGTTCATGTATGAGACACCTTTTACGAAAGTGGGAAAATCACACGGTGAAATACACGAACAGTTCAAAAGGAGAACAGTACTTCTGAGTAATAATTTAATTTATATGTGTGTCACTTTTGCATACTTTGTAATATAATGAAACTTATACCAAAACAACACATGACAATACACGCCATACACAGAATTTGGAACCATGATCTGTATTTTAGGTTCTTTTGAGGTCAATTATTGTAACAAGAAAGAAACATTCAGCTCAAACATATTTTATTTATAAATTTTACGTAGCATGAATACAATAATTAACAGCATGTTAGGATTGTACAGGAAGCCATAAAAGCGTATAAATTATCCAAGTAAAATAAACCAATGTCCTTTGTTAAATCATGACAAAGGTTCTAAAAGAAAAACTGTTTGTCTTCAAAGACAGTGTTTTCCTTTTCCAGTTTACATGTTTGTTCATTTTGACATGATTGCCTGTTTTTATCAATAAGCTCATTATAAAACAAAAAAAAATTGATTGAAACAACAAATTTATTATAAGGAATAAGTTACATGTACATTAAATGTAAAATTTCTTAGGAACAGAGTTACATAGGGAAGTTTGTGTTGGTTCTTTAGAACAAAGGTTTGTTGATTTAAACCTTGGGTATGTTTTTGGTGACAAATGTTATTATTTCGTCATCCATCACCAATCGATGTGGAAAACTGGAAACAAAAAGTTGGCAGTATTAAAAATTTGAGTGTAACATCAACTTAAATAAGTTTCACATATGTTAAAAAGCAAAACAAAAACAGGATGTTCTTGCAGATTTCCTAAGTTTTTCTGCTTATAACAAAATACAAGCTGCCTTATATATAGCTTTCTTATGACATCATATTTTTTAATTGTTGTAAAAAAGCAATTAATCTGCAAACAAAGAGGTAAATGGATTTTAATTTTACACAGTTTACCTTGATTATGTTTTTAGGTTAATAGTAATTTCAACAAAGTATTCTTTATATAAATCTTATATTTATTTTAGCAACCCATTCCTTTCCCTTTGTTAAAAAGAGGATAGAAGTTAACAATAAAACGGAGTGCATTTTGAGTCCTCTAGAGGTGGCCATTGACGAGATGAATGCCAAGGTCGCAGATTTACGAGAGGTTGTTGATCTTGCCATGCCAGACATGAAAAAATTACAGCTCAAATTACAAGGCTCTGTTAGTGCTCAGGTATCCATAAAAACATCTTATTAATTTATTTAATGTCCAGATCAAAAAGAAAAATAAAGAAACATTGGAAATTGTGACATTACTAATATAATTATAATATATTGTTTTTGAATTCCAGTGCTTGTGGGCAATTTAATGCAAATATGTGTAAGAATATAATTATGTTGACCCTTAAAAAATAA